ACTCTCATCGCTGTGCCCTCAATAACACTACGCTCTCTCGCTATCTAATCACTCGCCACGTATTGAACTACGGCGAGTGATCAGATGATCGGTGGGCGGAGATCGCCGGACCCGCCAGCTTTGAGGCATGATAGGTCGCCGAGGTCAAATTTTTCCATGCGAATTGCGCGTCAGTTCGCACCCTCAGGAGGTCCGTGGGTCCCTCAACTAGGTCAGTTTCCCTTTCTTCGACCTTCATTCTAATCGTGAATTCCTCCTTTAAAGGACGAATTCACGCTGGAAAGGCAACCCATTTCAAATTAACTTAGGGATGGTGAGTGGTACACGAAAGAAGGAAGAACCATGAGAAACGGCCCAGAACCCGAGAAATGGGACGCCGAGGTCAAATTTTTCGGTGCGAATTGCGCGTCAGTTCGCACCCTCAGGAGGTCCGTGGGTCCCTCAACTAGGTCAATTTCTCCTTCTTCGACCTTCATTCTAATCGTGAATTCCTCCTTTAAAGCTTCAAATGTGTCGGTAATTGGGAAACTATGCACATTGACAGTGGGAGCAATCACGGCGGCAGGACTTGAGGAGTTGAATTAAACGGCGAGAACGAAATAGCGCGTTTATTTACGGAGGTCTGCGGGGATTAGACCTAAATAAACATCTTATCAAGCCCCAATAGATGCCATTGCCGAGCATGTTCAAAGTGTTCACCGCAACATGAGCGGTAGTTTATTATTATAATCATTCCACCTGCTTCCACCAATGTCAAGCATGTAGTGACCAGAAAATGACATCTACTGTTACTAACTTGAGCTCGTAACTGTGGGGATTTAAATTTACAATATTTCATCAGCTACTTAAGATTACCATAACATTAGGAGTGAATACCCCAGAAAAAATGCGCTACCTCTTTCGGCCCCCGCGCCTCTTTCTTTCCCTTCTTATAGGGATTGAAGCTAGAATGTGCACTAAGGATGGCTTACGTCTTTGCTACAGTACGCCACCAGCTTTTTCCCGATGTCGTGGATGGTCTCGTACTTTGACTGGCCTTCCTTTTTCTGTTCTTCTTTCACCTGAATGAGTGGGATAAATAAAAGTACTGGACTTATGATTCGAAGCGTTTCCATTCATCATCCGCCGTTTCGTCAAACCACGCAAATCGATTGTAACCGTGGAGGTTGGGAAAATGATGCTTTAAGGAAGGAGACCTCATCACAATATGTGCTTATTGGGAGAGAATGAGCACCCCATTACATTCATGGTGTGGGAAGGCAAGCATTATACAGCAGAAACTGCGGTCCTATTAGTTTGTTTTGGTACTTCTACCAATAAGCCATTATCCTGTTGGCAGCAGAGCCTATTTTCATGATTCTCACCTGGTTGATCTTCCAGTTTCTGGAGACAAGAACAGAGCAGAAAATGGCATCTGATGCACTGCCCACTATGCTTCCTCCTCCGGGACTTGTCTTAGGAACTTTCTGAAATGAAATGAAAGTTTTTATCTCGACAAGTCTGAAGAACTTTCACAAAGTGTAATGTATCAGAGAATATCCCGTACACCTCGATTCCATTCTTTCACGAGTACTTT